AGGACGAGCGCCTCCAACGTTCGTTCCCTCCGAAGGCCTAGCGCCCCCACTGGTAGTTCCCCCGGTCGTCTCCATCGCCGACGACGACTACAGCTTCGACGGCGACATCGGGATCCTGGGCCCTTCAACCCGGGTGGCGGGTGGCGACCGTGCTGACAGTCACGCGGTCACAAGGCCTTCAGCGACTGTTTTCCGGGCCCTGCGGTGTATCAACGCGTTTTTTGGCTGTATGGTATTCTAACGTGCGAAAAAAAAACACACACAAATTTTTGCCGAGTCGCATTCCCCTGCGGTCCCAATATTCGACACGGTGTCAAGGTCACAAAAGGACCGCGCCACTGGAAGGGCTGAGGGGGGGGGGAGGGGAATCGCCCACGCGAAAAGGCGGTGTCAATTTCATCACCTGCCATGTCCAATCATTCGGCCGCCCCCCAGTCCGGCAGGTTTTTCCACCTACGTCACTCCGCGGTGTGTGCATGCTTGCGCGCGCGTGTGTGTGTGTGTGTGTGTGTGTGCGCGCGCGGCGTAATAAAAGAAGATGGCCAGATGTGTGATGTAATGGTAGGGCTGCATTCCCCGTCTCCGTCCCACGCTGCCGGACGGCTGAAGAGAGAGAGAGAGAGAGAGAGAGAGAGAGAGAGAGAGAAGAGAGAGAGAGAGAGAGAGAGAGAGAGTGAGAGAGAGAGAGAGGCGATAAAGCGTGGTGGACACGGGCGTGCGAACACGCCAGGCGTACGCCAGGCTTACGTAACGGCCGCCCCATAACCGATTCCCGATGCCGAGGCTCGCGACGATCCAGGGTATCCCTTCCGCCGGACATCCGCCGACACGTACCGTCCGCCGGAACATGGAGCACGGTGCGAAACTCTGCCGCTCTTCGCTCTTTCCGCGCGGCGCGACGAGCGGGCGCGACGAGCGGGCGCTCCCAGCCCCAGCAGCGTGCTTCCCGCGCGGCGAGCGCCCGCAACGTTCGGGATAGGCAGCCCTTCGAACCCGGGCCTGGGCCGGGGGGCCGGTGACCACAGGTCCTGTGGGCCCCTTACCCATGTCGGGGGTCGGTTCGGGGAAAAGGGGCCCTGCTCAACCAAGAGTTCCCGTTCCACCCCACCGTCTCGGGCCTTCCGGGGGCCCCCCGCCGCCCCCCCAGATGCCCCCCCCCTCCCCCCTCCCCCTCCCGACCCGCCGTCGCCGTTTGAAACGGCCCGGGGGGCCTTCCTTGTTTTCCGCGCCCTTTCCCGGGGCGTTCTTCATGTTACCCTAGGGCAAAAGGGCAAACACCCCTTCGCCCCCCCGGCCGCGCGCAAACTCAAAACAAGGGGGGGGCGGGGGCCGCGGGCCGGGGCGCCGGGGCGGCGCGCCGGGGAACTCGGTTTTGGGGCCCGGGCCGTCCGAAAAACCCCCGCCCATGGGCCATGGGGCGGGGAAGGGGGCCGGTCGAGCAATTTTAAACCCGCAAGGGCCCCCCTCCTCCTCCCCCCTTCTCGTGGCCGGGGGCGGCCCGGGTTGCCGGCCTTTGTGAATGACAGAAAATAGGGGAGCGCCTTTTTTTGGCGCTATACGGCGGGCGAACCACAAGGAAGGGGGGAAAAATTGTGGGAAAAGGGCCAATACGGTTCCCGACGAAAAGGCCAAACATGTTTTTTTATTATTTTGAAAATGGGCAAGGGCTAATTTGAAAGGAAAAGGAAATTTTTTTAGGGGGGCGGGAGAAAGGGTCACGTACGCCCCCGCGGAAAACAGTCCGATCAAAAATTTTGGAAAAAAAGGAAAATTTTGGAAAAAAAAGGTTGGTGAAATTTGAAGTCTTTTCGTGATCCCCCAAAAAACTGGGCTTGAAAACTGATCTTTTTGGTCCAAAAGGTTTTTGGGAAAAAAAGGTCTGGATGTTGGAAGCTTTTCGGAAGACAAAAAACTCAAAACATGTCTCGAAAAAAAGGCCTTGGCTTTTGGGTAAAGGCGAGATGAAATTAAGTTTTTTCGGATCGACAAAAAATTAAAACTTGAAACTCGACTAAAAAGGGCCCAAAAATTAAAAATTTTTGGCTGGGAAAAAATAACTTTTGTGATCCCCCCCCAAAACTGCGGAAAAAACCACCAAAATTTTTTCAAAAATTGGTTTTTGGGAAAAAAATGGCGGGTAAATTAAGACGCTTTTTTAAGGTGGGGGAACGCCCAACCGAAGCGGAAAATTAAACACCGCATTAATTTATTTCGCCAAAAACCCTTTTCCATTCGTACTCCGTTTTGAATTTTGCCTGTTTGTTCCGCCCCCTTTTAAAACCAGTGGTGAAACTTTTTGGTCTCATTCTTGGCCCCCCTTTGCCGGCGGCTGAAGAAAAGGAGAGAGGCGAGAAAGAAGAAAAGAAAAGGAAGAATTAAGGGTAACGCGAAGCAGTACGCCAGGCTTACGTAACCCCCCCAAACCGATTCCCGATGCCGAGGCTCGCGACGACCCAGGGTATCGCTTCCGCCGGACATCCGCCGACACGCACCGTCCGCCGGAACACGGAACACGGTGCGAAACTCTGCCGCTCTTCGCTCTTTCCGCGCGGCGCGACGAGCGGGCGCTCCCAGCCCCAGCAGCGTGCTTCCCGCGCGGCGAGCGCCCGCAACGTTCGGGATAGGCAGCCCTTCGAACGCGCGCGCTCGGCGGCGCGGCAGCAGTGCAGGCGGCAGCGAGGTCCTGCTGGTTGCTGCTCTCACTCCACTCGCACTCACGGGTCGTGTGTGCGAGAGAGACAGACGGCCCTCGCTCGGAATCAGCAGAGAGCCTTCTTTCCGATTCATCAGGCCTCCACCGTGCTGACTGTAGCTCTTCCGCGGGCCTGCCTCGCCGCCCCACCCACGCACTGCCCCCCGCCCCTCCGCCCCTCCCCCTCCACGACCACGCCGTCTGACTCGCACTTTGACTAACTTGGCTCGGGGCGGCCTTCCTTGCCAAACTTTCCGAACGTCCCTTTCCCGAGAAGGTCGATTCTTCGATCAAGATTAGCCCGTGGCATGGCAAACATGGGCAAACACTCCCAAATTACGCTCCGCTTTCCCTGTGCTTTTCGCTGCGAAACAGAACTGGCGGGAAGAAGGCGAGAGGGGGGCATGGGCCGCGTGTGATCCGAGGCGACGACGGCGGTCTTTGCGTCCGGGAGTACGTCATGGTGTGCCTGGCCGGGCCGTCCTGCTTTCAAACATTCCCGCCCATGCGGACGCATGCGGCTGCCGGATAGGGGGCCAGGTCGCCAGACAATTCTAGTAAGCCGCTTAAGTGGCGCCCCCTGCCGTGCCGTGCCAAGCCCGCAGGTTGCTGCGATAGGACCTTGATAGGGGCAGGTCCACAGTGTGCTTCGGCCTTTGTAAAGCAAGTCGACAGAAAATAACATTTTTGTTGCCCCCTCCCCCTCCCTCAAACAGTCAGGAGAACTGAATTTTCCGGACTCTAAAATGTGCAGGCTGTGAAAGTGATCCCACAATGGGTCGGCCATGGCCACAAAGGCCATGCTTTTTGCCTACTTCCAGGTGAAAGTGACGCAATTTCCGACGTGCGCGCGCGCTCCACTGACCATCAGTCTAAGTTTGGACAGACGAACTGTGTGTGTGTCGGTGGCTCAAAGCGCAGAGGCAGCGGCCGCCGCGGTTGAGGACCTGGGCTCGCGTCCCGGGGACGAAATTATTTTCCTCAGTTGATCGCTTAAATGCGGTAGCAGTCTAAGTTTGGGCAGAGCGAGTGTCAGCGTTCACGTGGCTCAGTGAGCAGAGGTGTCTGCCGCGGTGAGAGAGACTGGGGTTCGAATCTCAACTGTATCAACATTTTCCTCAGCCGGCCTGTTGATATATATCTTAAACCTTGACGATGTCGGGTGGCGGGAGGAAGGTCTGGGTTCGACTCCCAGGTGAGAGAATCTTTTCCTCAGTTCACTACTCAAATCCGGTACCGTCACTCTAAGATTGATTGCGGCACTTCGCAGTGGCTGGGTGGCTCAGATGGTAGAGAGCGGCTGGAACTCTTTTGCATCTTAGAGGGGAGAAAGCTACCAAGGTACCAGGTATGCCACCTGCTTCGCGTCTTTTATTATGCGCAGGTCTATTTACACAGCCGCGCCGTCGATGTAGGCCACCCATTTGACACGCTGCTGCAAAAGCAGCGCTGCCGAGGGGGTATGCGCTCTCTGAACCTGTGTACCGACTATTACGCTATTACGCTCTATTACGCCACAAACTAAACGAAATTTAGCTAAAAAGGCCTAAAACACCCAAAATTGATAAAATTTTGACAATTTCGGCTATTACGCGACTATTACGCGTATTATTACGCGTGCTATTACAGATAGAGTGAACCGACTATTACGCGAGTGCATACCCCCTCGAGCGCTGCGGCGGAAAATGAAAGACATTCCCAGCCGGGATTTGAACCCAGGTACTTCGAACCACGACCGACACCTTAGTCCACTGAGCCACCAAAGGCACCGATAGACGAGGGTGTGTCTAATCTTAAAGTGATGATACCGCATACATAGAGTCAACCGAGGAAAACATTTCCACACCTCGGATTTGAACCAGTTTCCTCTCCAGTAGACGGCCGCTACCACTGCGCTCTGAGCCACCAAATCACACAGCCCCTTCCCGCCCAAACTCAGACTGGTTCGTTGGGTTCGAGAGGTGAACTGAGAGTTTGGGGGCAAAACTAAGGAAAACATTGGCGCCGACGGGACTCGAACCCGAGCTCTTCTCATTGCAGCCGATTCCCTAGCTCACTCAGCTACCAACTCGCTTGGAAAAAGTCGCCACGGAACTTGTACTGATGATACCAGTTACAAGTGTCTGGGATTCGAACCCAGTTCGTTGCTCCAAGCGGACGTCACTCTCTATGGTGGGCGACGCTCTTGCCGACTAAGCCACCGGTTGGTATGTTCCGATTGCGAACGACCGTCTGTGACCGAATACACACTACATCACACACAGGTTTTCTTTTTTGGCAAAAAAAAAAAGCCATTGAGAGACGCACACAGTAGTTATTTTACTTTTATTGCGTAGAATTTTCACACATTAAGTCACAAACAGTTTGTGATATCAGTTAACACCATGATCTGCAATATTCTGTGCATTTCAAAATCTGAATTCAAGCTTCCCAAAAAATTGGATTGTGATTGCCAACAAGGTATGGTCGCTAAAGTGACAAAATATTAACCTGGTAAAAAGAAGCGTGCGGAAACGCCTCAAACTAATAGAGTAGGTGCGGGCCCCCGTGTGTAGTCTTTCATGGACCGCTTTTTTGTCATACAAGATAAGAAGAAAAACACACCTGAATACAACGGATATACTGATTAAATTATACCAGGAACACATTTGAAGAGTATGGTACAAATCATAGAATACTCACACACACAGACACACACATTTTCAATTCTTAAACTGATGAACCACATTAGTAGCAACTAGAATTATCACAGACTTCCTTGGTTTCTGAGAGCAAAGTTATCGACTAGCTTTTGAAGATGAGACATCCGAATGAAAGGTGAATTTAGCTCCCACAGCCAAATAAAAATCCTTAATAATTATCACATGCATGGCAAGACTCGTGATGGAACGAATTTCATTTCATTTTAATCCAGTGACTTTTTAAAAGCAGCAGATGCTCAGTCACTGACAATTCAAATCATAAGTTTGAAACAATTTAAATTACTCAAACCTGTCGTTGAAACCATTCTTCAAAATGGCATGAATAAATTTTGACTAATTTTCCTACAGCATGCGAGATGAGCAAAAAGACTGTCTTTTTTTTTCAGTTCGATAGATACAGCTGTCTCACTCACAAATAGTTTTCTTCCAAATAACAAAGACAACAAAAACAAAACAACAAACTACCGTTTGCTTAATCAGAAGCTGCACTCAACGTAAGGAAAGAACTCAGGCCAACCAGTTGCCATGGATTATATTCCACAAGTTGCTAACGGTTTGACGTGTGAATTTCATTACAGAAATAAATAAACAAAACATGACATTACATTAAATAACAGAAAACAGATGAACTATACAGCAGCTTTACATCATAGTACACAAAACAGACACATCGCACACAGTTACACAAACTCAGACACAGAATTAAAATTTCTCTGCTCTAGAGACGTCCTGCAGTGCACTACAGTTTTCATACACAATATGTGTTGCAGCACTGAAGTCCATTTATTTCCTGCTGCAACGAGCTTTGATCCACACCACTCTCACTGAGACACAGTCGTCCGCTCACTTAGGCCCCTTCCTCTTGATTGGCTCCCAAACACTCTCATCACACCGAAAACGTTCCTCTTTCAAGGTTCGTGCATCGACAAGAATCCCCTCAAGGCCCGCAGCAGGAGTTGTTCGAGTCAACGTCGGTCGAACAATTTCCCGGGGGACAGCGTTCTTTTGTGCGCCGTTTCAGCAGAATTCTTTATTTTCGCTTCATCCCGGGACGGCAGTGTGGCAGCCACACAAACACGCGTCGTTCGGAGGCCTGTTTCTGGAAATATTATCCCCAGTTGGCTGGAAGATTGACTCGGTGGCTTGACGCAGGCTTGACGCGCTGGGCGCGCCGGGCCAGGGGCCGGGCCAGGGGCCGGGCCGGGCCACTCAGGGCGCGAGCAACAGCAGGCACACGCAGAACAGCAGGCAGTACAGGTGCGAGGACTGGTGGTGGGCCTGCCCGGCCTGCTGCATGGCAGCGGGGTGCTCTCCTGCAACAGGAAAAAGAAACTTACTGTTTCTGCCTTCGAAGACGACAACAACAACAAAAACGTCTCTTTTAAAAATGGGGTGAAAAGTGACAGGAGGTGAAAGAGGCTAATACGCCCTTGCACACAAAAATTTAAAAACAATATTGGATTTTAAAGACGTTCTTTTTTTTTCAAGCAAAAATTTTCCTTGAAAGAAATTTTTTTGATCTGGTTTTCAGTTTTTGAAAAAAAAAAGACCTCTTTTTCTGAGTGCGGCTGTGCCAGTCGTATGCAGCAGTCATCATTCCTATGCAACGCTCGGCGACTTTGTCGCTGCAAACTTTGCCACTTTCTTGCACCCCTCCCCCTCCCTCCGGCCAGCAAGTTCAGCGCGGCGAGCCTCGGACGCGCAGATGCACCGCAAGTTATTTCAAAGACACAAAACAGTGGCGCGTCACGTATGGATGCCGCGCGTCGCACAGTGGGCCAGAAGACTGGTGGAGGCGGACAAAACTCTAGACGCGTTTTGGGCTCCAGAGTCGCTGAACAGGGCTCAAATCGATCGTGTGACCCCACCAATGGATTCCTCGTTCGGAGACCAATCCATTGGTGGGGTCACACGTTCGGTTCGAGGTCTGTTTAGCGACTCTGGTGCTCGAAACGCGTCTAGAGTTTTGTCCGCCTCCACCGGTCTTCTGGCCCACTGTGCGTCGCGCGCAGCGGACTGATTCCGAACCGAACGGAGTAATTCCATCGCTGCTCTGTCTCTCTCGCACCCACGAGTGCGAGAGGGCAAGGAAAAATAACTCCAGCCAAATTTGTACACCAAAATTCATCAAACATGTAAAATTCACTACAATTTATTAAAATTCATCGAAATTTGACTGAAGTTCATCGAAATTCAACCGAAATTCATCGAAACTCAACCGAAATTCATCAAAATTTGTCAGAAATTCATCGAAATTCGATCGAAATTCATTGGATTTGAACACTGAAATTGACAGTGATTGCGGGAGGGACGTGCTCACCGTTGAGGACGTGGACGTTGATGCCCTTGGCCTGCGCGTTGGACGGGTTGCACGAGTAGCGGCCCGAGTCGGTGGGCCGCGCGCTCTGGATGAGCAGGAAGCTCTCGGTGGTGACGCCCTTCTCGGTCACCACGCTCACGCCCCCGCGAGGCGAGTCGTAGCTGATGATCTGCAACACCAGTTTGGCTCACTCTCCAATCACAACACACTGCAAAAGGGGAAAAGGGAAGGTAAAATTCATGGCCCCATACACGAGTAAATTTACCCCATTTCAGGGTGGCCAGAGCAGCATAGATATTTTGACTTGGGGGTGAATTTAACCTAACCACCCAAACACGCAGAGGATTCACCCTGGATTGTTTTGGCTTTTAAGTTTAAAGCGGGTTTGGACTTTTCGGAGGAACGCTGTCCGGACGTGGAGAATTTCTGTTTAGCGTGCACAACTAGCTTTGTTAGTCGGGTCTAAAGCGCAGGGGGTGGCGGGAACGACACCCGAGGGCACAGAGCGGACAGAACGGACAGGCAGACAGACAGCCAGCAGACTGGCTGCACCACACCAGGCCTAGTGAGGCGAACCTACACCGAAAAAAAAGCGAAGGAAAAAAAAACCACAAAGTTGTGTGTTGAAGGCAGGCTGACGCGCCGAAACAAAATGTTGCTTTGCACCGGTCTGAGGACTTCAAAAAAATGCCGTCGTAATATATTTATTTTTGCAGTGTTGCCCTCCGACATAGACCTAATGCCATTATTTGCCCAGGGCCCCACTTTGCACTGCGGTCTGAAAAGGGGGGAGGCGAGGGGGGGGAGAATCTCCCTACACTGGGCAGTGCAGGCTGGCCATAGGCTGAAGGGATAAGCACCCGCCCGCCCCGCCCTGCCCCGCCCCGCCCCGCCCCGCCCCGCCCCGCCCGCCCCGCCCCGCCCCGCCACCGCCGCGCGGCCGGCCACTGGATTTATACGGACTGAAAGCTCCTTCGCCCTCACGCTTCATCGCCCGGCCCACCCACACACTCACACCGTTCTGTAACTTTTACAAATAGAGCCAAAAGGGGTGGGTGCTAAAACCGCCCCCTGCCCCACTGGCTGGCCCGTTTCCCGGAATGGAAAATTGTTTGATGAAAATGTAATGTTTACGGCGGCTCCTGTCGGCCGCAATATCTGCGCTGCGGTTAAAAGGGGAAGTGTCCTGCACAGTGGGGTAAATGGGCGCACGGAGACCCGGACACTAAACGGCCCTGCAGAGCCATGGACCGTGCCCGGTCCACTGGGCTTTCCCTCCACCTTCTTTTTTGTTTATTATCACGAGCAAGGTGTGTGAGTGGTGTGTGTGTGTGTGTGTGTGTGTGTGTGTGTGTGTGTGTGTGTGTGTGTGTGTGTGTGTGTGTGTGTGTGTGTGTGTGTGTGTGTGTCAGGACCAGGCCGACGGAGCGGGCCTGCAGTGCAATAGACAGTGGTCCGGAATTATTTCAGAGGTCAGGTAATTGAGCGGCTCTGGAGGGCAGGACGCACAGTGGGCCAGAAGATCGGCCCAGGCGGCCAAAACTCAAGGCGCGTTTTGAGCTCCAGAGTCCCTAAATGGGACTCGAATCGAACGTGTGACCCCACCACTGGATTCCTCCTTCGGAGAGCAATACATTTGTGAAATTACACGTTCGGTTCAAGTCCTGCTTAGCGACTCTGGAGCTCAGAACGCGTCTAGAATTTTGGCCGCCTCTACCGGTCTTCTGGCCCACTGTGGGACGGTAAAAAGGAAATCCTCTTACGGCGTCGTTGTGGTTCCAGATGACGTAGGCGGGCGGCTCCGGCGAGTTGAGCACGATGCACGTCAGGTTGATGGTGGAGCCCCTGTCGATGTACAGGTCGGGCCCGCCCAGGATCTCCGAGGCAGGTTCTGCGGACAAGGTAATTGCACAAATGTATCCACAGCTTTTCTCTCTGCGTTTCAAAAGTCTCTTTGGAATTCTTGATTAGCCACGCTGATTTGGCTACAGAAGCAATCGCAAACATCTAATCCATCAAATTGTTGGAAGCGGGGAAAAAAAAGGTGTTTCGATACCAGGGACGTAAAATATCAGGAAGCCTGTACAGTACACGCGAAAATGAAGCCAGCAGCCAGGGTCGAAATGTCGAACACGTGGTGGGATACGGGCTGTAGAGATTGGTCGTGTGTCCAAAAGCAAGCGAGGGGTACTCATTTACACACACAAGCACACACTGATCCGCACCGGTCCTGTTCGGCTTTTCAATAAAGCATCATCGGCTTTGGGGCTGGCTACCGCCACTACTGGCTTCTCTCTCTCTCTCTCTCTCTCTCTCTCTCTCTCTCTCTCTCTCTCTCTCTCTCTCTCTCTCTCTCTCGCAAACGTAGTGGCGGCTGGGCCATGGAAGCCCACCGACCTTGCCGGAGACAAATTGAGTGCCAACACATGTCGGGGGGGCCTAACGAATGACCGACGGGAATGATGTGCCGCCTCGCTCTGTCTCTCTCGCACCGCTGCGGGGCGTCACTCGAGTGCGAGAGAGACGGAGCGACGAGTCAGGTGACTGTTTGGCTGTCCGCGTCCTTCCGCCCTTGTCCCCGCACAGTGGGCCAGAAGACCGGTGGAGGCGGCCAAATCTCTGGACGCGTTTTGAGCTCCCGAGTCGCTAAATGGGACTCGAAACGAACGTGTGACCCCACCAATGAATTGCTCTCCGAACGAGGAATCCATTGGTGGGGTCACACGTTCGGTTCGAGTCGTGCTTAGCAACTCTGGAGCTCAAAACGCGTCTAGAGTTTTGGCCGCCTCCACCGGTCTTCTGGCCCACTGTGCGCCGGCCCCGGCCTCTTGGAGCCCTCGAAGGGGCGGCGAAGGGGCGGCGAAGGGGCGACGACGGGGCCCCGCAGCCCTTGAACTTGGACGATGGACTGGCCGCAGCAATAACCGTTTGCCCTTCGCTGACCGCTTCAGTAATGAGGGACCCTGCTGCTCCGCCCTAAAAGCAGGGACGGCCGGTCGCCAGCAGCAGAGCCAGCAGCCCGGTGGACGCAACTTTAAACTTAGCCGGTGACCTTGCAAGCCACTCTCCCGCCGCGGCGCGCCGCCCGAACTATGGCCAATAAACTGGCGAAAATGCTGAATGCCTGAGCGGAGAAGCGCCCTGCAGCAGCGCGCTAAGAGGGTACCCTACCCTGAACACCTGTTCGTGATCCACAGCCCTCTCGAATCAAACACTCCGAGTCGTGGATTTCCTTGTTCGAAGGGCAAGTCTTGTGGCAAGCCACTCCCAGTTTGAGAGCTCGCCCTCCGCGGCCATGAAGCCATTGCGGCGCATCCATCCGACGAGCAGCGCTCTGTGTGAGGTGCGCAGTCGTTTCAATTGGTGGCCATCACCAGAAAGGCTCCGCGCCGCTCTGCAGGGCTCTGCGGGGCTCTGCTAGGCCAACTTGCGGCGCGGCAAAGGTTAAAGTTTTCCTCAGACGGTGAGGCCCAGCCGCCGAGACGCACCCGCCGCCCCGGGAAGACGCATCAGGGCGGCAGATGCTGCTGGAGGTAACGAGAAAGGCGGCTCAGTGACGAGTTTTGAGAGAGAGAGAGAGAGAGAGAGAGAGAGAGAGAGAGAGAGAGAGAGAGAGAGAGAGAGAGAGAGAGAGAGAGAGAGAGAGAGAGAGAGAGAGAGAGTGTTGTTTGCAAACAGCCCGAGGCCAGTGCGTGTTTTGCACCGAGCTTTTCCCTTTGACCGCCTTACGGCCTTAAGGTCTCACGCACGCCGAGTCACCCTGTTTACTCCGCCCGAAAAGAGTTATTTGCAATTTGGTTGCGCGTTCCCGTTGCGGGGGTGGACTTCCCTGGAACACGAGCCTCCACTGCAGAGCGCGAGCACACCCGGGGAGACTGATTCCGAGAGCCGTTTACGACGCGTCGTCTCTCTCGCACCCACATGGGACCCCCCACATGAGTGCGAGAGAGACAGAGCAACGAGAAGGACTCTCAGAATCAGTCTGCAGAAGATAGGTCAGCTGGGCTTTGCTGCTGGTGCTTCTCGATAGAAAATCAGGCGCTCCACAGCGCACACTTATCATCTTACGATGGTATCGGGAACGTAACATACGCTGAAATCAAAACATGCGTATTACGCTGAAATGTCATCGTACTACAATCGCAACCAACGTACCTTACGTTGACAACGTGCGTAATACGTTGAAAACATGCGTATTACGTTGAAAATCCTGCGTACCTTACGTTGACATTCGTGCGTATTTATGCAGGTTGGAAATTGGTCGTACCTTACGATGGAAAATCATCGTATTACGCACGAAAACCAACGTAAGATGATAAGCGTGCGGGCCAGACAGAAGACCGGTGGAGGCGGCAAAAACTCTGGACGCGTTTTGAGCTCCAGAGTTGCTAACTGGTACTCGAACCGAACGTGTGACCCCACCAACGGATTGTTCTCCGAACGAGGAATCCATTGGTGGGGTCACACGTTTGGTTCGAGTTCTACTAAGCGACTCTGGAGCGCAAAACGCGTCTAGAGTTTTGGCCGCCTCCACCGGTCCTGCTGGCCCACTGTGCGGTCTTCGCCAACAGAGTGCTTCCAGGTACGGTCCAGCGCCCGCCAGCGCCTCGCCCTTCCCGGAAACGACCCCCAAACGCGGCGTCGACGTGTTCGCGCGTGTTCGCGGTACTCACCCACGACGGTGAGGTTGACGAGGTACGACATGTGCGGCGTGGTGGACACCTGGCACTCGTAGGTGCCGGCGTCGCGGTGCTGCGGGTACTTGAGCTGCAGCACCCAGTCGTCGCCGTTGTGCTGCGCGCGGAAGCGCTGGTCGTTGGTGTAGGTGTACAGCCCCACCGTGAGCAGGTGGGTGTCACGATGCCGCACCCACGACACCTGCAAATAACAACAACAACAATGCGATGAGCGCGTTGGCGGCTGCATCAAAAGCCCGTCTGCAAAACTTGTTGCACGGACGCAACGCGTTTCGCGCTTTTCCTCCTCCTCTCTCTCTCTCTCTCTCTCTCTCTCTCTCTCTCTTCTCTCTCTCTCTCTCTGTGTGTGTGTGTGTGGGGGTGTGTTGGTCACTGCCACGTCCACGCGTCCACGCTGCTCGCACACCCAAAAAAAAGTGGCGACAATGTTGTTAAACAGTCATTTCGTTTACATAAAAACACGGTCGCGGTGGAAGAAAAGCAACAACAGCAACAAGCGGGCCGACGTGGCTTTCGCACGAGCCGT